GTCCCTCATTCTGCCACCACTGTTGTAACTTGAGGAGTGTAGGTTCTCTCACGCAATATCTGGTCACACATTACAATTCGATCAGATAATCATTGGTGTCTGGCTTGTTACCTCATCGAAAGTCCCGATGGGGTGTAGAATCCACACCCATGAACTAGTTTGCGATTCAGTTAGTCAAACATATATAAAAGACGAAAATTTGAATAGGTAAGATATCGGAAATGTTTAGAAATGCGAAGACTGTTTGCCTGTACCGGCATCAGTCCACGAGCACTACTTCGATTGCCAGGTTAACAGAGGTTACAAGTCCCCCACCAACAGTAGCTTTGACTCGCAGAAGGTTTTTGTCAACTGTCGTATTTCTTAATTTAACTCTAGGTTGCGCATGAGGAATAAAGGTTTTTGCGCATCAACTGTGAGACCCCATAGGTGAATCCGGGCGGACATCTAGTTAAGATCGTCATGGGTAGACGCGACATTGAGTCTAATCTAAACTGCTGCAAACTACTCCTAAGAGGCCGTAGTTGGAGATTGGGGAGAGCAATGATCTCAGCATGGACTGCTGAGGGACACCGTCGAAAACCGGTGGCTCGGGTGACGTGATCCTGAACTCGTATGCAAAAGGGTTCTTCGCCTTGTACAATTATTAATCCAGTTGACTGTATTTACTGCCAGACCAATTCATGCCGTTTTCAGCCGAAATCTCTGCGGTAGGGGTCCTAATATACATCTGAAACACCATTTTGGACAAACCGCAGGTTATATTTAAGGCACCGCGGTTACCCGTCAACTTTTTTGATTTGCCACCTTGTGCGTTTGCCGAAAACGGACTGGCCTAGGTGAAGACCAACGAGCTTCTAATGACCACAGAAAGGTACATGCTTCGATGTATCGTAGAAAAATATCAAGCACACTTACTGACTATGTCTCCCTCCCTTGCATCAACTGCAACAAATTCGCTCTTCGTTCGGAGAGTTCTCGATGACCCACAGTTGCGCATGATAACTATGCTTTATATCTGCCTGTGTGTTGCTATGCTAAGCACCAGTGAAATGATGTTCATTTAGTGCCGCAATGTTAGTTTCGAAGATGAATTTGCGCGTAGCTCCTCCGAGAATTAGAGCGAGCCAGGCTAATGCGAGTATCTGAATATCTGGCACTTAGTAGCGAGATCGCTTTATTGCAGGTTCCAGGACTGTAATCCTTTTTGAGGGAAGGGCCTGACCGCAATCATTTCTACTGTCCTTCCCTAAATTACTACTCCGGAGTTGACCCCGTTGAAAATCGAGAGACAGAAAGCCTCGACATTATCTTCAGCACAAAACCTCTTGCTCGGAATTCCAACTGCAGTATTGGGTAAATATCGGGGAGGGCACCCAAATATCCGAGGCTTAGAAATAATACCTACTATATCTATTTGAGTAGCCTATATTCGTACTTATTTGTTGTTTCATCCGAACTCAGTTTCATCTGACCTGCAGTGCACATGTGGACCGGGCCACAGTTATTCAACCTTGACCTAGGCTTACACGGCTGAGGAGTGACCTTACAGTATTGAAGTGAGTTAAGCCTGAAAAGTTAAAGCAGGCATAGACAGCAGAATTTACTGGAACCAATCGATTTCGCGACGGCTTATCAACTACAGCCTGTCGTAGCATAACACAAATAACAAATGAGACAGGTAGAGATGGTTTGAAAGTCCAGAGAGAAAATCAATAGAAACAGCAAGGTCATCGTATACTGCACGTAGACCAATCAATAACATGGTAACTTGGAAGACGCAACATAGGAAAGAAAACGAGGAAGTTTAACACGCTGAGGGATTTCGCATATTAAAAGGGTGCAGATCTATCAGGGCAAGTTGAGGTTGACCACATGGTCTAACTGTTTGCATAGGTCGGTTTTCTCCCGCCGTATGTAGGCTGCCTCCAAACAGCGCAGTAACTGAGTTGTTCGTGCTCGAACTAATACTCGAAAAGATATTTTGGAATCAACCGAATGACCGCTATCAAGGAGGTGCTTTGTAATAGAAGACCGCGCAATTTTATTCTCCTGCCATTTAGACAGGTGCCCAACTGACCTGACTGCCAGTTGCCCTTGCGTTCTCCCAATGTACTTGCATCCACAAGTGCATGTAAATTCGTAAACACAATTTGACATAGCGTGCAATTGCAAGGCATCCTTCGCCCGTGGAACTTGGATAGCCTTAGTGGGGCTGCAGAATATGAGTTCAGCTGAGTTGTAAGTTCTTTCAATAGCGCATCTCAATCGCCGCTTGATGGTATTTGAGATGTTGTCACCCTTAAAGGGTAAAGACATTACAACGGGCTTTTTCGGAACTGATTGCTCCGTCAATTTTGGCCGTAAAGTTTTGCTGTTCTTTTCGATTAACCGTGTTGGATATCCCCGTTTAATCAGGGCTGTTTTGAGGCAAAAAAATTCAGCATCCAGTGTTTCAATAGAGCAAATGTTTCTTGCTCTTTGGAATAGAGTGTAAGCCAAATTTCGCTTTCGTTGTATCGGCACAAAGCGATACAACGTGGTAAATTCCCCTGTGTTGCCTTTTTCAAGTTGCCATTTTATAGATTAGTCTACGTGCGATATGTGATGACCTTGCTGTCTTTTATTGGTTTTCTCTGTGGAGGTTCAAACCTCCGTAGCTGTCTCACTTGTTATCTGTGTTATGCAACGACAGGCTGCAGTTGATAAGCCGTCACGAAATCTATTGGTTCCAATAAATTCTGCTGTCTATGCCTGCTTTAAATTCATTCAGGGGAAATATTGCTTCAAGCTTGAGAATGCTTCAAGAGGGACAGCTAACTGGGGGTTGAAGAGACCGTGAATACAGAGCGAGTAGCACACGCCCGGAGGACCGTTCCCATGATGTCCCATACCGCATGACAATGTAGTGAGGCTGGCTGGACGGTTGGTTTGTCCCACGATAGTTGAGATGTTGCCAGCCCTAAGGGTTGAGTTGCAAAGGTTGCACACGGGTAGCTAAGAATAAGACAAGTATTTTGGGAGGGTTGGGTATAAACTGCTCTGTGCACGGGTACACAATTGCTAAACCAGGCAGTGGAATGCCGGCCAGAAGAAAATGGAAGGGAGTTTGTGGATACTGCAGTTACAGCTCTAAAAGGTTAGGGGGCAACGGTATAGAGAAGGATCCCATTGAACTGTCAGTAGACTGCGAATCGTGTCATATGGGGGTTTTATCTTGACATACATTAGCAGGCTGTTGCAAAAATAACACCGCCAACAACGATTACTTCCCCACGACCTCACACCTTAAATCAAAATCCGTTATTTTGTAAAATTTACGTTTCCTTTATTGTTTGATTACTACTCTCATTTCCGTTGTCGTACAATAGCGTAGGATAAGACTTTCTGAATAATTCCAGGCAATTGTCTTGCTTTTGTGGTGGTCAAGAATGTGAAATCAACTTAAACCACGCACAATAAGTTCGTTTCCACTCATGTCAGCAGTCAGGGAGCTGTGAGGAATAGTTTATTCTGTACACAGGGCAGGTTGCCGTAAGTTGGCTGTTTGCTTGCAACAGACATAAGCGTCCATTAACGGAGAGCGTCAGTCGCGGTGTGTTGTTTACGCGGGAGTGAATGTCTGGGTCAGCAGGAGGGGGTGAATGTCTGAGTGTCGGTTGTGTGATTGGACAAATTAGGGGAGGAATGGAGGACGCATACTCACAAGGCCTCATAGATACCAAGCCAGAGCGTTCGACACGCGTGAGGTGATACTAGTTTGTGAGGGCAGCCGGGAGTCGCTGCAGCTGGACAGGAGGAGCCCCGATTCTAACCGGTGTGGGTGGTCGTGTGTCAGCGGCCTGTCAACGCTTGTCGCGGCCATCGACCGACAAAACGGAGCCGGAGAAAATGGGGAC